AATAAATAAATATAACACACACTTGCAGATCCAGCTTATTCAGGATGAGATTCATTTGAATGTGCAAATGTTGGGAAGAACATTTTCCTGAAACATTTGGTTACTGGAGTGTTTGCATGTAAAGAAACTAAAGTTAGTGGATTCCTAGTAAAAATTTGAGTAACTGAATTCCTGGAAAGGCTAGCAGCATGTTTCTAAGGTGGATGTCCATCCTGCAGATTCCTTTAAAGTGCACCTCCTGAAGTTTTCCTGATTTTCTATTCATCATTCATTACAGTGCTAAAAACCTCATAGTAAGGTCAACATATGTAAAAGTAATCCGTGTGAACCAGAAGTGGAGACTATAGACTGCTTTGTTTCTGCTATTTCTTTTTGGGCCTCTGAATGATGCCAGTGAGGGAGGATGTCTTAATCAGAATACTTTATTAATCCCGAAGGAAATTAGGGTTACAGCAGGCAGCACGCTAGTGGCGCATGCGCACTTACAAAGGAACCTTCTGACCAACTTTACGCAAACATCACATTGGGGAGACATGTCAGAAAGGTAGGCTGATAGGAAAAAAACAATGAAAAATACATAACATGAGGTAAGAGGAGGAGAAAAAAAAAAAAAACTCCACTCAGACTGAGCTCCTAGTGGGAGAACAGTTGATAACAGAAAAAACACCTCAGCACAAAAAGCACATGACTATCAATACACCATAGAAACACAAGACAAGCAACAGGGGCGGTTAAAGGGTAAGAGAGAGCCGGTGTAGACAGTGCATCCGGTCCTGCAGCATGTCTGTGCTGGTCCAGTCGGCTGCCATCTTCCCCGGTAGGGCACAAGCATCGAAGGCGTTTGGAAAGGGAGGGGGGATCAGTGTGTACATATCAGTGTGTGTGTGTGTGCGCGTGCGCGTCCAGAGTTCAGCTGAGACAGTGTCCTTCGCCCTGCCAGGCTAAGTAAACAGTCTTCCAGCCAACCCAGGTGGCCTTGCATGGGATGGGGGGGGGACAGTCTAAACACAGTCGTTATCAGGGTGTTTTGTTCAGCTCCAGCCTTGAGACCGCAGCTGGCGCCAAGAGGGTCTCCGCATGAATTGATGGTGTTTTTTACTTTAGTGCGAACAACTCATATGAATTTCAAAGCTGTTCTAACAGTCCAACACTGGTCTCTCAATCTCCCATTGGAGAGCCGTGAGCTTTCTATGATGTTATCCAAACTTACGTTCCGTGATGTTGTCATTGTTTTTGCTCAAAGAGCAGGTTCTGAGAACTCACCACTGCAGTGCACTTCCCAAGATTAAATAATTTGGTCAGCTCTGGCTCTGTGAACAACAGCTCCTCCCATCTGCTATTGAAACCTTCTGTTTCCGAGGGCAGCCAATCAGGAGAAAGCAGGTTTTTAGGGAAGCATTGCAGGCCAGGTACAAGATAAAAATTATTATTTTAACTGTTATTTACATAAAGATACTCTAGTAAAGCCCATAAGTAAAAACATGGAGCTGGAAATGAGCAGATAGCGGGTCTGTTGTATATTCTCGTCTCTGGTGGCTCAAAATCTCTTTAATTTCATACCGTAGTTGAAGTGGAGGAAAATTACTTTAATACGTTTTTGAGGCGTGCAACAAAAAAAACAACTATGTATATTTATTACCACAGCACTGTACTGCAGTTACATTGCTATAGATCTGCTGCACAGAGACATACGGCACAGTTTACTCAACTATGCTGTAACTTTACTTGTTAAGACTTCACATAAACATATTGCAAGCTTATAAAATCAACTATCTGATTTTATGAGTACCAACACTGTCGTGAGAGGTGACTGGGCATTGATTTATCAGGATATTCTAATACTTTGTTTGAGGATTACATATCTGGTGACTTTTCGTTACAACACATGCTAATGTGAGAGTAAGCAGATGAATATTTTAAATGTAAATGCGACTTCTGGCCATCACATGGGTTTTGATCAGCTTTAAACAAAAAATAACATCGATTTCACAGGCACAAAATATCGAAACTTTAAAAACCCTATGGTTTAGATGTAAAATTCCACTTATTTTTGGAATAAATGTCTTTGTACAGGGACTAGCCTTTATTAAAAGAGCATATGGCGTTTAGCAGGTGCTACAACATCAATGAAAACATACAAAATCCATGTGATAGACGTTAGCTAGAAGCTAACTCTGAGTCAAACTAGCTTGAATCGCGACTTAACATCTAAAAGAGAAATGAAGACATACCTGTTCTTGAAGAGGCGTCAGGTGATGAAGAAGGCTGAGCAATAAACGGCTGTCACTACGCGCAAAAAAACAAATATTGAAGATTTGTATTCCCCTAAACGTCGCATGGATCGCCTGTGAGAAACGAGCTACTTCTACGGAAAGTGAAAAGGGACAAATGTGATCCAGGTTGCCCTTTTCTTCTTCTTCTTCTTCTTCAGTCAAGTTTAACGGCAGCTTGCATCCAAAACTGTTGCATTACTGCCAGGTTGCCCTTTTTTTAGCTACTCTACCTTTGTGGTGTTCACGGTGTTTTTCTTTCACATCTTCCGCAGATAGACAAATAGTAAAATTTTAGATTTTTTCCACCCCTTCTTAGATCTCTACAGAATTCCGTGAACTTTCCCATTGTTTTGAGTGTCGATCAGTCCAGTGAGAGCTAATCGCAAATCCTTTGTATGCTACACCCACCAGTTGCAGTCAATCATGATCACTAATGAGAAATTAACAGGCCTTGACTATTTCAAGTCATAAGACATTATAGAACCCTCAGCGCTACTTATTAAAAGATTTAAATGAGTGTATGTACATATTGGGCCTGTATGTATACTGTTGACACTGTGTGGATTAGAGAAAATCCTAAATATAATATAACATAAAATCTAATGTCAAAGTACAGACGCATAATCTTGTTTTAAGGCAGACCACATCTCTAAAGCACAGCCTCCAGCAGTGCCTGTGAAGAGATGTGATGTTTGTGACATTTCCACCACTGTGTTGTCTGACCTTTTCTATCACAGTCTTTGAACTGGCCCCAACAGGGAATTAAAAAACAACAAACAGAGGAGGATACAGGTCAAAAGGGAAAGCCAGGAGCATCTCTGAGCAGATGCTCCTGTATAACCTGAGCTGTTTAGATCAGGTAAGTGACTGGTGTAACTCATTTTTCTGCTGCTAACTTTGGTGTCATAGGAGTATGTTTTTGTTGTTTTTCTGTGTTTTTGCTCTCAAGACAATGTCAGGAAAGATGTGCAGCAGCAGCAGCAGTGTTATTCAGGCACAAAAACTGGTGGATCAACTTCGGGTAGAGGCAAGCATGGAGAGATTCAAGGTGGGTAAGAATCTAAATCATCTGTTAATTTGCTTATAGAGGTGGGCAGATTGATATAAAAATTAATTGTATTGATACCAATGCTGGTATCGGTATTGGATTGAGACTAAGCATGATATGGTCGATATTTGTTTCCATCCTCTACGTTCAGTATGTAGATCACTAAATTGTATTAAATTTTGTGTGTGTGTGTGTGTGGGGGGGTGTAAAAAACCTATAATTTAAACATGCGCTATGAATGATGTCTTAATCTTTTTGTGTTTATTGTCACATCAGTTTTATTTAAAGCCTGCGGCACATTTAAACAACAGAAGCAGATCCAGAGTGCTTTAGACACATACACATTTACATCCCAGGTCTCCCAAAAACAGTTACGAAATACATAGAAATCTGAAATGGTCATTTCAGTGGTCATTAAGATGTGTTCAGAATTTGAAAATGTATGATTCATCTGGTTGAATTTATGACACACTGGCCTCCCGACATAAGCTGCTGACATAAGTTAAAGGTATCAGTATCTGTATTTAGCTGGTATTGGATCAATATTAATTTTTAGTATCACACAGGACTATCATTTTATACTTTAATTGCTAAATTGCCAAAGTACTGAATATATATGTATTTTTTATAAAAACTTCCCATGCTCACTGTCCAACAGTTTTTCATACTTGTGTCTAAAATCCAGTCAACTCTCTGCCCCTGCAGATCTCTCTGACAGCAGCAGATTTAGTCCAGTACTGTCAGGAGCACAGGCGCAGTGACCCCCTGCTTACCGGCATAGCTGCTTCATCCAATCCCTTCAAAGATAAGAAGACCTGTTTGATTCTTTGACAGCTCCCAGACGGCGCTGTGAGGAAAACCTCTGTCCGAGAACGCAACCACGAACATGTACTGTGTAAAAGATACTACATGTCCTCATCTGGAAAATCATGAAAGAATCCACGCACTTGATTTTTAGAACTTTTAATGCTGTCTTCTGTGGAAACAGTCTCTCAGCATGTTTGTAAATGGATTTTTGGTCAATAGTAAAAACACACACAGCATATGGACACAAATAATAACACTTTCCTGACTGTATTCAATTAAATAGCTATAGAAATACAATCAGTTTGTCACAGAGCAATAATTAGTTTACTGTACATGAAATGTTTAAGTAATTATTCTTGTATAATGCCAGTTTACATATGAGATTCAATAAAGGTATTATAATTACAAACATTTACATGTCTGTGGTTTCAGTGCTGTTTGAACACTTAAAGTGTCCTTAAGAGTGATTCAGTGAGTTTTGGCACAAAATGAACATTTTTGGGGTAAACAATGAAAATAAACATTTGCTTTTCCTTCCATAGAAAAATCTTTTCAGTGGATCAAACAAGATAGAAATAAAAAAAATAAAAATATAATTTGAGGGTTTGTGACAAGACTAAAATACCTGAAATATCCTCCACCACATATTTACAACTAAATTAAACAACTGAAAGCAGTCATTTCAAAATAGTTCACTTAAAAATTAAAATAACCTGATTGGTCATCATCTGTCGTCATTTCTTCCCTTCTGTGTTTGTCTGTTTACTCAGCACTTACATGACTGTTGATGTAGCCAGCCTTCCAGGCAACGGCAGCTTCTTTATTTACCTTTGTTGATTTGTATAGAGACACAGAACAACACAACTAAGACCAGGGTTCCTGTTTTCATTGTTACCATGTAGTTGCTTCCACTTCATTTTCGAGGCCTCCACACTTGCACCCTGACGTCACCGGACGCTATAGCGAGGACTCCGGCCTCCACGCTCAGCTGAAAGTTTTCACACAGTGCAGTGAGAGAAACAAGAGGGAGAGAGAAGACACATGAACGATGAAAAGAAGCCCACATTAATAAAGTTAAAATATCATCACTGATGCCCAGAAAGAGAGAACTGTCAGTACTTTTGCGAGTATGACCTCCCTAAAGGAAACTATAGCAACCCCTTCAGCTACTGCAAAACTGACAGATCCTAACCAAAACCAGAAAGAGAGCAAATATAAAACCAGTTTTAAAGTCTCTGCATTGGCTTCCTGACAAGTTTTATACGGTGTGTGTTTGCTGGGTTGATTTTTTTTTTTGCACATGTTGTTGTTCTGTAAACCATTCTGAGCTACGAAGTTGTATA